GTGTCCTAATCCCCTACCCATAACACCCAATAACCACCGTTTTCATAGGAAAACATGCAGGGAGTAGGGATTAATGAGTGGCCTACATAAGCTACTGTTGCCTGACTGTATTTGCCGTTTTACTTATTGCGCGCCAAACATTAGGTTATTTACACAATCATTCGTATTATTTTCTGCTTTTGTACGTTCTACTTTTTAATTTATTTTTTATTTCCCCTGAAATGGTCCACCCATAAAACCCCTTTTTACCATCGGTTTCGTAAGACAGAATCCTGGGCCTAGGGGTACGTATGGTCCGCTACAAACGGAATGTTTGCCCTAATGCTAATCGGATCGAGCTTTTGTTTTCGCCGAAGGTTCGGAAAGCTGGGCCGGCTCTTCTGTTTCAATGTATCGACTGTCGCTATCGATCAGCGATTTGAATTTGTGACTGCATTTTTCGGCCTTGGGCTCATCGAATTTCTTCTCATTCACTGCCTCGCACCTCGTATGGGTGTTGGCGTAGTTTGACTGCAGTTGGTTTTGCTCGTCGTCCTCACGGTGGAGCATGTTGGTAGTCCTGCTTCTTCTTCTTCTTCTTCTTCTTCTTCTTCTTCTTCTTCTTCTTCTTTCTTCTTCTTTTATCAGGACAATAAACCTCTTGTTCCAGTGATCGCTTCTTCTTCTTCTTCTTCTTCTTCTTCTTCTTCTCTCGTGTTCCAGTGATCGCTTCTTCTTCTTCTTCTTCTTCTTCTTCTTCTTCTTCTTCTTCTTCTTCTTCGACGACTGGGTCTGTCGGCTTCGCTCGCATTTCTTATCCCAGATATTCAAGGAGTGACCATTGTAGGACGGGGCACCTCAAAAGTAGAACAACTGACGCTTGAGGCATGCTATTCAGATGCCAACCCCTTCAACGGGTATTTAGACCTTCCCGCGGACTAAAAAGTCCTCCGCCATTACGTGAGTAAAGGCCACGACAAGGTCAAGTCGAACTTAAGGAACCTGCGCGGCGACGGCTCTGCGATGGACCCACCAAAAGAGGAAGCAGAAATACCAGCACCCTTCACTGTAATGACAAAGCGCAACGCCAACGACCTTCAACCTACACAAACCTCTTTACGAGAGGCGAAGCAGCGTAAGAAGGAAAGGGGATCGATCAATCCATGGGCCGACAAGTTCAGCTGATTGCTGATCATTAGTGACAGTTGACGTTTTTACAGAAGAGAGCGGACCCAGCTCTCCGAATCGTCAGCCAAAACAAAAACTCCTTCCAGCAAGCATTCTTCTGTTATCAGATTCTTATCCCGGAGCTCCCACTTTTGCAAAGTAGAACAAGTATTAAGGGTTGGGAGATGTTGGTTTGAGGCCATAAATAGCTCATCTCTGGCCACTGGCAATCCGGTCGTCTCGGGAGTCGTTTTAGCCATATGGCTCCGCAGATAGCGAGTGCTTGGTTCAACTTATTGGACGAGTGGTTGCCAAGCCATACCCGACAGCATAATTGTTGCATAGTCTCTGACTGCTTATTCACAGGAGGTTATTTTGTGCGTATAAGACAGTCTTCCTCAACCCGATAGCCGCTGCTTTTGCTATTATCAACAGAAGCTGACTCAGGGACTTGGGGTAATTTGGTGGAACCTTACATGTCACCCAGAAGGCTTCCTTGGAGTCCACACGAAGCCCAGTATCAACCATATGTCCGAGAATAGCGCTGTTTGTGCTCTTGAGTCACCTTTTCTTGGCCATGCCGAGAGGTGTTCCCTTATTCTCTCTGGTAGGCGCCGACTCATGCGACCATATAAATGTATTGGCTTGACGATAATTTATCGATTGCGCACGCTTGCTCGCCAATGGATCTTCTATATTGTATTTTTATTGCCAAGCACTTGTCACTGGGAAGAAAGTATGTAGAAAATCAAGTCAGATCGGAGCTGTCCACTTAACTCGCAGGTAACCTAACGCCACAGCCGATGTGGCCATCCAAAGAAAGAACGTGGAGCTATTGCACCACTTCATGGATATAAAGGTATTAACTCGGAATTCCACCGGGAAAATTGTTGTTTTTTAGTCAACTAATCTGTTATGGAACTTAAACTGACCCCCTAAACCAAATTGAAAATAAAATCATTGTCAGCCAGGTTAACAATAGGCCCGCCGAAGATGTACTGTAATCCGAATAATCTATCAGTGCTGCTGGGCGTGGTGTGTAAACGTAATTCCATCACTACATCGGTGGAGGCAAAGTTTCGTAGAAGAAGCCTTTTATTTTTCTGAATCGCGCACACGCACCGATCTAAGGAATACTCCCCCAGTTGAAGTTGCTGCGCTCGCGACCGACGGTGGTAGTACGAAGATATGTAGCCCAACGAACGTTATTTTCGTGGTCCTCCAGTTCCAGTACACTTTTTGTACTTGTTGCGGCTGCAATCCTGACTGACTAGATGATGTCCGGGGCGGCACATCTCCACGCGTGACCATCTGCGGCAGCAGACCTGGACAGTTTAATCCATTCTCCTCGCAAGCGCCGGAGATAGAATATCAAGGGTCCAAGAGCCACTTCCATGTACTGACGGACTGAGTCGAGCCAGGTTTTAAGTTGACCCCCTCTTCCATGTCTCCAAGTGGATAACAGTGTTGCATCGAGAGCGGTAACACCGAGCTCGACGAAGAACGTGGTCAAACCACCTCAGTTGCTTTTCTCGGATGGCCTGGGATGTTGTCGCAGTGGGTGCGGACTGTCTCCTTTGAGAAGAAGTCGGTGAACTTCACTCAAAAGATGGTCATCAAGCAGTAGTGGTCAAATAAATTTTCTTTCATTTTCCACACGCATAGCCCAACATTCGCATCCGTATAGGCGAACGGACCGCAAAAATGCTCGGTACACGCGGATCTTTGTTGAGATAGAAATATCGCGTCGGGTCCATTGGCACTTACGAAGGCTGGAGAACACTCGTCGTGCTGCATCAATTCGGGGGACAATGTCATCCTTACTCTGTCCATTCGGCAGCAACGTCGCTCCGAGGTATTTGAAACTGTCTACTTCTTCAAGTTGACAGCCACTAAT